TATTATATACATATATATGCTCATATATATGTAAAATGCAAATTCAGATTTAATAATTTAAAAATAAGTTTGCATTCTAGATGGGGTTCTTGTGTGCTTTAAAATACTATTTCCTATTGTATGAGCACATTTTGGCTCAGCAGATGTCATCTACAAGCTTTGCCCCATTAATCCCACGATAGGTTACCCTGCTGGGTCGAACTAAGACCCCGTGGTTCAGCTTACAGGTGAAGTAGCGCTTCTCCCCCACAGAGCCATCATTCTTTCCCTTGGCGCTTCTGAGTTCCAGTCCAAGCCATATTCCAGGTGCAAAGTCTGTAGGGCCAATGTACCTGATGGTTCCCATTTCGTTGGAGCTGGTCAGAAGGACCTGAGAGCCTTCATGCAGCTTCACCGGTCCCTCGGTGTTAGCCGTAGCGGTGCTACTCCAGCTGCGCCGTAACATGGAGCTTTTGGATCTAGGTAGGAAAACAAAACAAAAGTCTTTTTCTATGAAACTTTCAGGGCAAAGCTGTAATTCAGTGAAGTGCATGGGGGGAATCAACTCCCTTTTCTTAAAAAATAGGGTTTGGTCTCGTGTCACCAGTAGAACATGTAATAATGTTACCAGGCTCGTACACATGGCACTCTGAAATACCTGGACAATCAAGTTCCTTTCACCTGAGGCTAGGACTGACAATTCCGACCACAGGTGATAGGAGTGGTAGGTTAAGAAGCACAAACCATTTTATTTGGGGCTTGAAATTGCTTAGCCAAAACAACTGTTAACATGCAAGCAGATCACCAGCACAAAGAAGTCCTTTAACAAGACCCACTGAACTTCACCCAGCTGTGTGAAAATACAGAGATTTGGAGAATACACACTGATGAATGATTGAGAAACAATTCTAATGCCAACCTCAATTCAAGGGACTGCACTCCAGGATACCCTCTGAAAAACAGTCTACTACTGCTTTGCTTTGGAAGGAAAAAATATGACCATGTAGAAATCTAGATATTACACATGCATAAATATTTTCTTTTGAACAAGAAACAGTAAAGCTAACAGCCAGCTCACCCAACCATTTTAAACCCAAAACACTCACCTAACAAGGGAGTTTCTTCTGTTTATCTCCTTCTGTGAAGACGCAGAAGTGGTGCTCAGGCTGCGCCTAAAGCCTAAGACGAAAGGTTAGTAAGCTGTGCAGGACTTGAAAATAAAAACCAAATCAACGAACCCAACAACCAAAACCAACTCTTTATGAACTCCTGTTCTTTGTGTTTTCTTTTACACTGCCTCCTTCACCACATACTCTCCCTTCCCATTTGAAAATAGTAATGAAATGTCTCATGAAGCTAAGAGTCCATAACATGTTCAAACATGTTCAGGTTTTCAGAGAAGACAGAAATGAAATGAAACAAACCCAACAAGGGTAATTTGAAGCAGCCTTTTCAAAAAAAGCTTAGGTAAGGAAAAAGAAAAATAACTAGTTCAAATATCTCACAAATGTTCTAGTAATTTCATACAGCTCCCTCCTACACCAGTCCCTTCATCAATCTCAATTTAGATTAAGGAGCAGGTTCAATTTATGGTTAACACCGATTAGAACACAATACAGCAATAAGGAAAGATTATCAATAATCTTAACTCTGACACCATTATTTCTGCCACTAGATGGTTAGTAACTCCACAGTTCCTTCTGCTGGCTACATTTTTAGGGAGGGACAGGCCAGACTAATGACTGGCACTTGAAAATCTGTGTGAGAAGGGGGCTTTGTGCAGTAGGTGAACAGTAGTAGCCTGCAGCAGGCTACCTAAGCCAAATTACAGTGTCTTACACTCCTACCTGGAAAAGTGTGACTTATTTTATTCAATGAAGTCTCTGTGAGAGAATCCAGAGAACCTGTTAGTCTGAAAAGCAATCACACAACAAAGAAGTCATTTCAACTCAAATCTGAACAAAGCTACTGCTGAAATTCTTGCCAAATGTGAGTTAAGTTCTGATTCTTTCCCTTCTCCATCCACCCCCAAGAGACACAAACATTTCAGCTGTAATCAGAGCAGTAAGTAACAGTGCCCAGAGCAAACTAGTTTGAGTTATTTGCCTTTTACGCCACAAGAAGAGAGCATGTATAATTTTGAAGCAAGTTCTTCAACAGTTTACCTGAGCAGGGTGTTCAGGGGCGGGGAGGGGAAGCAGGAACAGGTCTGGCAGAGTAACTACATACAAATACTACACACAGAGCACGATACTCCTCAGGTGTTCTTCCTGACAGTTAGCAAAGATTGGATCCTGAATTTAAGTTTTAACGAACCCAGACTGTATCAGAAATTGAGGCCTTGGCATGCAAATACTTTAAGTGGCTGCAAGCAAAACATGGGGGAGTTGCATTTCCAACTTAGGCTTTTGCTTCCAAAAAGCTGATCTAAAATCCATCAGGTTTTTAATGGAGGTTATAAAGTTCCATTAGCAGAAGAAAACATTTCTGTCTTATCTGGGGTAAAACTTTGTTTCCTGCCAGAAATGCATTAAGAAAGCATTTTGCAACTCAAAACATTAAACCAGCTTCAGTGCTTACCTCTGTACACGAGATGGTGGTGCAAATATACCGTGTCTGGGAAGGCAACTGAAGTACTGAACACCTCCCACGGAACCATCATTCTTCCCATGAGGCTTGTCCAATTCAATTCCACACCAGAATCCTACATTTCAAAACAGTAAAATCATGGTATTTTGTACAAAACACCACAGGCTTTGCTTCATACAGACAGCTGGTGCAGTTGGGATTCACCCACATCAAGGAAAACAGTTTCTAGTTAGAAACTGTCTAGATCACAACAGTAAGTATATATATATATTTACTATTCATAAATATATAAATAATATATAGTATTTATAT